CTATTTGTAAAAAAAAAAAAAAAAAAAAAGTTTCAGTGCAAATGGGAGTTGAAGGGCAGACGGGAGTTGCTTGATGAACAGATGGAAGATGGTAAGAAAATGGAGACGGGATATGTGAGTAACTCTTTTGAAGACTCTAATTATAAAAGAAGCCAAGACACAAGTCTGGAGGAGAACGTGGGATAATTAAGGGAAGATTTTTTTAAGACAGGAGATAATAACAGCTCATGTTTGAGGTGGAAAAGGACCCATACAACAGAAAAGGCAGTAATAATGATGCTGGAGAAGAGCAAAGTCCCTGAGAACTTGGAAAGGGATGGGAACTGCACCATCGACCTTTGAAAGGAACAGACACACTTCTTCTCAAATGTGTCTGCTTCTATCACAGATGCTAGAATGTCAGGAGATTCAAAAGCAGGAAAAAGTGCTCCCCCAAACCCAACGTGAATGAGAGGGCATCGGCTTGGGGACAGGATGAGGGCAGAAGGGGAGTGCTAAAATCCAGGGAGACAAGAAGGTGTGAATTAACACTCCGGCTAGTTGCTGAGCAGCAGTGCTGGAAGGCTGCTCTGGCAGCAGCGAGCACCCACTGACATGTGTGCTTGTGACTTTCTTCACTATGACTCAGTGTCTCAGCTGCAGACTAAGAGAAGGTAAACAATTAGGCTCACAGATGGCATTTTGCCAGGGAAGTTTTCACATTCCCTCCATTCCTTTCCTTCCCCCCAACAAAAGTGACAGAGGAAATACAAGGGAAATAAAGGAAACATTCACACGAAGTGGTACCCCCAGCAAGGGAGGAGGCATGCTTTCCACTCCATCTCTAGGCAAGGCAGGAGAGGCACCCCTTGAAGACACCGCACTTGTGCTTCCAAGGCACCACAATAAAGCAACTATCCAGTAAGGCAAGTCTACTGAATTCTGTGGTTTCCTGGTGCATATAAAAGCCATGTTTACACTATTCTGTAGTCTATTAAGTGCACAGTTGCATGATGTCTAAAAAACAATATATGTACCTTAACTAAGAATTAACTTATTGCTAAAAAAAAAACAAAAAACAAAAAAAAACCATCATTTGAACTCGCAGTGAGTCGTAATCTTTTTGCTTGCGGAGAGTCTCACCTTGATGCTGACGGCTGCTGACTGACCCGGGATAGCGGAATCCTTTCACTAATGAGTTTTTCGTAGCAGCTATTTTACAGCATTTTGCCCACAGCAGAACTTTCAAAGTGAAGTCTATCCTCTCAAACCCTGCCACTGCTTTATCAACTAGGTTTATGTAATATTCTCAATGCTCTGTCGTCATTTCAACAATCTTCACAACATCTGCACAGGGAGTAGATTCCATCCCAGGAAACCACCTTCTCTGCTCATCCATGAGAAGCAACTCCTTACCCCATCAAGTTCAATCCTGAGGCTGCAGCAACTCGGCGCCATCTTCGGGCTCCACTTCTCATTCTAGTTCTCTTGCCATTGCCACCAGATCCGCAGTCACCTCCGCCACTGATGTCTCCAGCCCCATGGTCACTTCTGCCACTGACATCTCCAGCCCCGTGGTCACTTCCGCCACTGAAGTCTCCAGCCTCCACGTCGTCCACGAGGGGTGGAATCAACTTCTGCCAAACTCCTGTTCATATTGATATTCTGACTTCTTCCCATAATCATGATATTCTTTTTAGTAACTTTTAAATTATTTTTAATGTTTATTTATTTTTGAGAGAGAGAGAAAGTGCAAGTGGGTGAGGGGCAGAAAGAGAGGGGATAGGGGATCTGTAGCGGGCTCTGCGCTGACAGCGGTGAGCCCGATATGGGGCTTGAACTCACGAACTGCAAGATCATGAAGTAGAAGTCAGATGCTTAAGAGACTGAGCCACCCAGGTGCCCCATGAATCATATTCTTAATGGCATCTTGAATAGGGATTCCTTTCCAGAAGGTTTTCAATTTCCTTTGCCCAGATCCATCAGAGGAATCACTACCTATGGCAGCTATGGACTTTCAGACTTGAAAGTCGAAACGGCTCCTTGATCCGAGGGCTGCAGAAAGGATGTTGTGTTAGCAGGCATAAACATATTAACCTTGCTGTACATCTCCATCAGAGCTCTAGGGAAACTAGACACAGGAGCAGGAATATTTTGAAAAGTATCTTTCTCTCTGAGCAGCAGGTCTCAACAGTGGGCTTCATATTTTGCAAACCATGTTGCAAACAGCTATGCTGTCATCCAGGCTTTGTTGTTCCTTTTCTAGAGCACGTGCACAGTAGATTCAGAATAAATCTTAAGGGCCTTGGGATTTTCACAATAGGAAATCCTCTCTTCACAACTTTTCTTCTGCAGCTTCCTCATGTCTCTGGCCTTTGCACAATTGCAGAGAGTGAGGCTTTGGCGTAAGGGAATGTTGTGGCTGTTCCGTCACCTATGCAGACCACTAAAACTTTCTGTATCAACGATAAGGCTGTTAATGTACTTTCGTTGTCATCTGTGTGTTCGCTGGAGTAGCGCTGTTAACCTCCTTCAAGAACGTCTGCTTTGCATTCACAACTTGGATGTTTGGCACAAGAGGCCAGGCTTTCTGCCTGTCTAGGCTTTTGACATGCCTTCCTCACTAAGCTTAACCATTTCTAGTTTTTTATTTGAAATGAGAGCGTGTCCTTGAACACTCAGAAGCCATTTTAGAGTTATTAACTGGCCTGATCTCAATACTGTTGTGTCTCAGGGAACAGGGAGGCCCAAGGAGAAAGAGAGAGAGAGGGGACAGTTGTTTGGCAGAGCAGTCAGAACACAGACACATTTACCGAACAAGCTCCCTGTCTCATGTGGGTGGCGTCTAAGGTGCCCCAAATCAATTAGTGACATCAGAGATCACTGACCACAGATCACCATAACAAATATCATAATCATGAATAGGTCTGAAATACTGTAAGAATTACCAAAATGTGACACAGACATGAAGTAAGTAAACACTGCTGGGAAAATAGTGCCAACAGACTAGCTCCACACAGGGTTGCCACAAATCTTCAGTGGGTAAAAAACACAATATATGCAAAGCACAACAAACTAAAGCACAATAAAAGAAGGTATGTTTGTAACAGAAATCATGGCCCTATGATGACACTCCTCCCTATTCCTAGTACCCATATACCTATCTGAACCTAGAAGTGCAGAAGAGACTGGGGGAAGAAAACGAAGTAAAACAGAAAAAAGTCATTAAGCCCTTATTGTTAAAGTAAGGGATAATGAAATGCTTGCCGTCAAAACAATCCCAAGCATAATCCTTAGATGTTACATCTAACATCAAATCATTTTCTTCAATAGTGATACTATCTTTGTAATATGGAAATATCTGATTTTCCACAGTGCAGTCAACCAAAATTCTTTTAATATTTTACCAATTTAAACTATTTCCTTACTCCTTTTTTCCCCCTTCTTTAAAAAAAAAAAAAACAGGCAAAGGTGCCAATTAATGATCAAAACAATCATCACATGATCATAAATGTATTTTTCTATTTCAATGATTCAAATTACTACTTAACACTTAACATTAAATATTGAAAGGGATTTAGCAATCTGAAATGCAATATTAACTGTTAAACATATGTAACAAAAAAAGAAAAACGGAACTCCAAACTAAGTACTTAACTCAGAAGTGCGTTTAAAAACCAGTACAGTTAGAATTCAGTGGAACATGAACAGAAGCCGGGGAATGTTCTAGCTCAGTTTTCCTGATAACTTATAATTGATCAAAATCTTTAAGAATATTTCCAAGAATGCTATTACTTTTTTTTTTTTTTAATCTTTACTTGCTCTGACAAACTTTGGACTGATTCTGTCCCTACTTTGCAAACACTCCAAAATATTTTATTTTCCCATAATTTGAGACGCTGTCAATTAGAGAGTGGAAAACCTGATTTTATAGCTCAGCTTTAGCCTCTTATTACAAATTGTACACAAGTGTTAACAGTTACATAATTGACTCTGGCTTCTATTCCCATAGAAGATGAAAATGAGTGACCAAAAATAAGATACACTGATAAAAGAATGCCTAATATAAAACACTCCATTATTTGGTGATCTGGTATCAGACTTCAGAGAAGCAAGAATAAAGTGACAGCTCGGCAGTTAAGCTGTTAGAAAGTGTTTATTGGTTTTAGCTTAGGCCTGCCGGTTGTAGCACTAGTTGCTAATACTTGTTATATGTCAGGTAAAATGCTTTAGAAGAATCCAAAGAAATATATGAATAAAATCTTAATGGTTTTTATAATTACATGTATATAGTTAAAATACCAAGTAAATTATATCTGGTAAAAATTACTATTATAAATACTAGTAACATTCCATAGTTGGTAGGGAAGGGTCAAACATGAGTTCTAATATTGTGAGGAAAATAGTATTTTAACAGAATTTAGGAATTGAGGTTTTTCACTAATACCGAGTTCCAAGAAGATAAGGACTTGTTAAAACAATTCTCCTTCATATAAATATAGGAGAGATAATTCTTTTGGTGAACTGTGTATGTTGTTGACAAGAAATGTTATCAAATGCACCATACAGAATGTATTAAAAGTATTTCTGGATTTAAAGAAAAGTAATAAAGAACAGAAATACAATGGGACTAATAATAATTAGAGCTATACTTTCAGGATCACATTAAAACAGACTTACAACCAAATAAGTCTCGAAAGACATTTTGGTCTATAATGGTTTCTAAAAGTAATCTTAAAGTCAACTGCATTGAACTATGTCAAAACACTATCTGCTGGTACCTGTATTTTTTAAAGAATTGTCTTAGGTAAACTAAGGATTCCTGATAATTGTTAAATTCATTCATGTTAGGCACACCTGAAGTTTGTGTTTATGTTACATATTACATGTCATTTTAATCATTTATTCTGGCATGTATACGTTCATGTGATTTAGTATCTTTCAAATCAGCCCATAAAGAAGTTTTCATTATCAGACATCATCAGATGAACCACAGCCTATTTAATGAGTAGCATCCTCACCAGACTGATGGTGTGTATGGCGTCCAGATGCTTCAACAGCCTGCCTTTGTTCGTTATCTGGAGAAGACAGCAAAGAAGTAGAACGAGGGCTTTCTGCAGAAGATGATGTCGAATGAGCCTGAGCTGACGCTGCAGAGGATGTTGAAGGCTGAAGAACTTGTTCGGCTGAAGGATCTACCTCCATTGCAGTCTCACCCACTTCCAAATCAGAACGTGATGGGGCGGCAGGAAGAGGAGAAGCATCTGACTGGCTCGTTCCACCTTCAAAGAACACATGTTAATTCAAATTCAAATACTAACTGCCTTCCAAGAACAACTACTCTAAAGAGATACGTCCAAGAAATACATGTGTACTGGGAGCCTGGGGGGCTCAGTCGACTGAGCATCGGACTTCACCTCAGGTCATGATCTCACCATTTGTGGGTTCAGGCCCTACCTGGGGCTCTGTGCTGACAGCTCAGAACCTGGAGCCTGCTTTGGATTTTGTGTCTCCCTCTCTCTCTGTCCCTTCCCCGCTCGTGCGTGCACACCCGGTACACTCATGCTCTCTCTCTCTCTCAAAAATAAACAAACATTTTAAAAATTAAAAATAAAAGAAATATATGTGCATGTACATACACACAGAAATATATAATTTCAGGATATCAAAAGCACCGGTGGTCGTCTGACCCATTTGACCGGACAGGCTGATCAAGAGGGGTAAACATCTATCTACAGAACATTTTTGTTAAAATAATCCATGTTTCAAGCTCAATATAGTACCTTCATTTATACAAAGCTAAATAATAACTTGTGAAATACCTATAAATAACATCTAGTCTCTTTAATTTGAAGATGATGATTCTAATTTAATGACAGTAAATAGGAGAATGGATTTTATTAGTATGTTTCCATTCTACAACATAATGTATTTGGTAAGTATTTAAGAAAATTTATTGGGAAAAGTAAAGTTACAAATAGGTCAAAATGAGGTTAAGTTCCTGATTCCTACATCATTAGCAGTAATGTTTAAACCATTAAACTAACGATGCAGTCATGATTTAAAACAACTCGAGTGTCGACTATGTGCTATGCCAGGGTTTGTGCTATCTGCAAAGCAATAATTAGGAATAATCAATAAACATAACAATTTTCCCCAAGTCTAGATGTTATTAAAAGATAGAATGGACTAATCAAGTTCATATCTTGCAAGATGCAACTATCACATAATATGAAGACTTTTCTTTTAATCACCATGATTTAAATATTTCTTCTTTTAAATTTAAGCACAAATACAGTAACTCTTAAGCAAATCCACAGCTTAAGGAATTTTTAAAAAGTTAATTGAGGGGCGCCTGGGTGGCTCAGTCAGTTAAGCGTCTGACTTTGGCTCAGGTCATGATCTCACGGTTCATGGGTTCGAGCCCCACATCGGGCTCTGTGCTGACAGCTCAGAGCCTGGAGCCTGCTTCAGATTCTGTGTCTCCCTCTCTTTCTAACCCTTCCCTGCTCACGCTCTCTCTCATTCTCTCTATCTCTCAGAAATCAATTTTTTTAAAAAAAGTTAACTGATACGCAGAAGTTAACAAGAACCATTTATAGATAAAATTCAACATAATTTTTTATTTTGGTGTTTTAAAAAATTAGAGGAGTTAACTTTTATACTCATTTTTGACAGAGAGAAGTAACTTGCCAATGACCCCATGCTAGAAAGCAGTGAACCAAAATATGAAAACAGGTCAGCTAACACCAGAAAGAGCAATTAACTACCAATGCCTAAGGAATCAAAAGAACTATTTCCATTACATAAACCTTCTTTATCTACAGAGTTTTATATATTTCCATTTTTAGAATGCATACAAAAAGGACTTCAAAGGGGAATATCACGCTTTCTTACTTTTTTTTGAGAAAAGCAAAAAATAAGAGCTAGGTCTACACTGTGAAGGGACAGGTCATACTCCACACCCTTGGTCCTCTACTGCTTCACACAACACACCTAGGAACCTTGTGGTTATTACAGACAGAAAATGGTATCAAATGATGATATAAATAATACAGACATCAAGGGGCGCCTGGGTGGCTCAGTCAGTTAAGTGTCTGGCTCTTGATTTTGACTCAGGTTATGATCCTACTGTTTGTGAGTTTGAGCCTCACGTCAGGCACTGCACTGACAGTGTGGAACCTGCTTGCGACTTTCTCTCTCTGCACACCCCCCTTAAAAATAAACATTAAAAAAAAATCCAAATATCGGGGTATCTGGGTGACTCAGCCGGTTAAGAGTCCAACTTTAGCTAAGGTCACGACCTCAGAGTTTGTGGGTTCGAGCCCAACATCAGGCTCTGTGCCGAGCTCAGAGCCTGGAGCCTGCTTTGGATTCTTGTCTCCCTCTCTCTCTGCCCCTCCCCAACTCATGCTCTGGCTCTCTCTGTGTCTCTCAAAAATAACATTAAAAATAATTTGTAAAAAATTATCAATAAAACAGCGTTTGCCAGCTTTCGGCTGACTTGAATCAGGAAGAAAGATTACCTGTGGGTCTAGACCTCCCCCGTCCTCGGCTGCTCTGTGCAGCTTCACTCGCTTCTTCAAACCACCTGGACAACATGTCAGACATTCTCTGCATCAACGACACGTTGGGACTCTGCTCACCTGTCACAGAATAGGGCTAGTCAGTGAGCTCAGGAGCAAGGCAGGGTCTTTCATTAATGCAAAATCTAGATTTTGAAGGCCTTTAAAATGAAAGCAATGTTAAAAAAGAATCAAACTGCCTAAATTGAATGGACGTATAAACATCTATTAGAGCTACCATCACACTCTGTAGTGTTTACAGAAGGCACTCTCCATCTGCACTCTGAGCTCCTCAAGAAGAGGATTTACGTTTCTGACGTCTTTGTCTATTCTTAGGTACCATCACATCTCCCATCCTGACCCCAAGCTCCATCTTTAGTTTGGAGAGTGCGCAGCCAGGGAGTGCTCATGGATTGTAAACTGACTGATTAAAAGAAAGGCTCGAGGGGCGCCTGGGTGGCTTAGTCGGTTGGGCGTCCGACTTTTGCTTGGGTCATGATCTCGCGGTTCGTGGTTTCGAGCCCCACGTCGGGCTCTGTGCTGACTGCCAGCTCAGAGCCTGGAGCCTATTTCAGAGTCTGTGTCTCCCTCTCTCTCTGACACTCCCCTGCTCACGATGTCTCTCTCTCTCTCTCTCCTAGAAATAAAAATATTAAAAAATAATAATAAAATAAAAGAAAGGCTCGCCCTCTCACTTATATTTCCTTAAGCTGAATTTATTTTCATCATACCGTAAGCATATTCCATATATTCAAAATTAGTGAAAACCATAAAGTGCTATATTTGTCTCTTCCCTCTCCCTCTTTCCTCCTTCAAATATGAGTTTTCTCTTAAGGAAATTATCAAATTAAATATGATAATTATCAAATTAAAACTGATAATCCTATGTTACAATCATGTAATTTAAAATGCACATCATTTGCTCTTGAATTTTCTGTGAAAATAGAATTTATTTTATATTTTATTGCCTTTATATGGTTTTATAATAAGTACTATTATAAGATGATGCAAAGGATAACATATTGGGGAATAAATATGCTTTTGATCTTAAAAGAATTCAGAAGTCATCAGAATAAGACTTTGGCTACAGACCAATTATTAAAATACTCACAGATTAATTCTATTTTAAAACTGTGCCATTTTAAAGCTCCCAAGGTAAATTCTTATGCTTGTCAAAGGCACTTGATAAAAGGGAAAAAAAGATTTTTATCTGCTATTATAAAACTCTTGGGTTGGAAACTGAGAGTTTTTGTTTCTCTTTACACCTAACAGAAAGGCAAAAATTAAGAAGTTTGATAATACCTAATGTTTTCTATGACAATGGACGCTCATCTTCTGGTAGGAATGTAAAGGAGTGCATTAATTTTGGAGGGTAACTTGATAGCTATCAAAGCACCAATGCACTTATCCAGTGACCCAGTCGCTCATTCATTCCACTTTTAGGAATTTACCCTCAGATACGCTTGCATGTGTGTGTTAAGATATATGTACAAGGACAGTCACTGCAGCATCACTATACTAACAAAACAACAACAACATGGAAAACAAGTTAAAAGATTAATTTTTAAATACCATATTAGAAAAAGCTAACCAAAGTATAGTTACCATCTCGTTCTCGTTCACTCTCAGGCCTTGCTCGGGGTCCAGTATCTGACCAATCACCACGAAGTCTTAAACGCTTCACAGGAGGCTGTCGTAACTAAAAGATGAAGAGAAAACTCATTTGCTCAACTCTTAAAAGCACACTTTAAGTCTAACAGATTCTTTCCATGTCCTTGCTTTCTTTTCTGAGTAGGCAAATGAGACGCTATGTCAAAACATGTAATACAGCTCTTATAAGGGTGGTATCTATGGAGAGTACAGCTTCCACTTCACATCTTTGCCCTAAAGAATCTGAACACAACTTTGAAATCATATGTATGTGACTTCTAATCCCACCCAGCTGACAACAGGGAAGTTACTTAGCCAAACTGAGCCTAAGTTTTCTACTGCGATGATACATGTTGTCTAGGTCAAATACCCACATATCTGACAATAGAAATTGTCACTATTTGATTACTTTGACCGTTTAGTCTCTGGTTACCCCCAGTATCTACTGCAACCCTTCATTACTCACCTCAGGGTCTCTACTCTACCTTGTTTCCCTCATTCTTGGCTAATAACTCTTCCTCCTACTTCAGAGAAAATATAGTCAGTCCTGTAGAAATGACATCAATTTCCTCAGCTGCATTCTACAAATTTATCTATGATCTGCAACTTCCTAATTCCTTCTAACCTTTCTCAGAAGATGTATCATTTATTTTGTTAAAGTTTAATCTCTCCATCTGTGCTTTTATATTCAAACTCCTCAAGCACTTTGCTTCCACAATTACTCCTTCCCACACCTACATCCATTTCCTCTCATTTCTTCCTTATGATATGCTAAAAGGTTTTTCCATTTTTAATAAACAAAACATCTTAATTTTATATTTTTATTCAACTATACTCTTTCCCCATATTTTTTGAAGCTTTACTGTCAAGCTTCTTGAAAAAGTTTATATTTATTCCACTTCTGTCTGCCACTCCTCTCTCAGTTCACGGTCACCTGATGCTCCCATCTTTCCACTGAATTCATTCTCATCAATGTCACCAATGAGTGATTAACTGCTAAGTTCACTGATCAATGATAAAATGATCGATAATCAATTGCCAATTCAAATGGCACATTTCACAATTTATTTTGATGCCTAGGGCACTTGACACTCTTGATTATCCTCTGTAACTTTAATACTTTTAACGTTTTTAATTGAGATATAACACATATGCCGTAATATTCACTCTTTAAAAGTATAAAAGTCATCGGTGCCCAGGCACAGAGCTGTGAAATCACTTGTACCACCACAAATCCAGAGCATTTTCATCACCTCAAGGAGAAATCCTATAGCTCCAAGCAGCCACTCCCGCCTTTGCCATCCCCTGGGCTCCTGGAGACCACAATCTACTTTCTGGCTCTCTAGACAGGCCCTCTCTGGACAGTCCATAAAAATAGAAGCAGAAGTGGCCCTTCCCATCTAGCTTCTTTCACTGAGCAGAGTATTTTCAAAGTTCAGCCATCTTGTACCATATATCAGTATTTCATTTCTTTTTAAGGTTCAATACTATTCCATTATTTGGACATTCCATGTTTTTTCATTCATCACTCTATGAACATTGAGTTGTTTCCACTTTTATGGCTGTTGTGAATAATGCTGCTATGAACATATGTGCAAGTTTTTATGGGGACATATGTTTTCAATTCTCTTCAGTATATATCTAGAAGTACAATTGCTGGGATAATTCTATGTTTAACTTTTGAGGAACTGCCAAACTGTTTTCCAAAGCAGCTGCACCATTTTACATTCCTACCAGCAACATGTAAAAGCTCCAATCCCTCCCCTGCTCACGCTGTCTCTCTCTCTCTCTCTCTCCTAAAAAAAAAAAAATAAAATAAAAGCTCCAATTTCTTCATGTCTTCATCAACACTATTACTGACTTTTTTATTTTAGCCAACCTGGTGAATATGAAGTGGTACCTCACTGTGGTTATGACATATTATGGATACTAGATTCTAAGTCATTAATAAAATATACGATATACACTAGATTCTAAATCATAAATCAAATATGCTATACAAACATGTTCTCCCATTTTGTGGGTCATTCCCTTTACTTTTATTTATTTATTTTTTTAACAAACATTCACTGATCTTTTCCCTGGCAGGCAAATTTTGATAGAAACTTGGTGACAACTTAGCTGTGAATTTTCTGTTTTCTCCTTGAAACCATTCTGAGAAATAAGGAGGTTGGGAAAAAAAAATCTCAACACCCTCAGCAAAGATGACAGAAAAATAAAACCCTCACAAATTCCATAAGTATGTAAATATGGCAAAGAGCAACAGAGAATAGCCAAAATCTACCCAGGACGCCACAAGTGTGACATGAAATAATCAGAAGATTAGAGAACACCTAGTGTGGTAGGCTGTTCGTAGTCCACAATCTTAGACTAAAATCATTTCCAGAAACAGAGGGCCTCACTCTATGTGAACTATATTTAGAATAGAATGGAGCCCTGCTCCACAGTTATGAGAAAGAAACTTTATATGATACAAGCAAAGAACTAGTGTTATAAGCTCAGCAACTATTTCTGGAACAAGATACTCAAGTTAAAAATAGTCCCGAGTTTGACTTTTTGAGATATGCAAAATACCTAGTCAAGATACTGAAAATGGCACAAGCATTAATTCAGTCATTCAAAAAAGATTTTTCTGAGCATCTTTTATAGGTTAGGCACTACTCTAGGTGGTGGAAAAAGATCAATGGATAAACCATACGAAAACCCCAGTCTCACAGAACTTACCGACTACTGAAGTAGATAAACAATACATGATAAAGAAAGTAAAAAATACAAAGAAAGTGCTGAGTGTTATGGGGGAAAAATTAAGTAGACAAAGGAGATAGGCAGTACCAGAGAGTTAAAGGCTGTGATTATCTGGGAAGACCATGTCATGCCTGGTAAACACAAAAGCCATAAGTAAAGCCATGCCTGGGCTGCCTGAATAAGAAAGTAGATATGGTCAGAGAAGAGTACAATAGAAGTACTGAGAGAAGAGTAGCAATAACAAGAACTACATGAGACAAGTTCTTGAAGCCACTGTAGAAACCTTAGTTTTGCTTTAAATGAGATGGAGAGCCACCTGTAATATTGATCAGAAGAGCAGCATAATTTGACTTGGTTTTAAAGGATCACTTTGGTGGCTATGTGGCTAAAGGACTATGGGGGCAGGGGGTCAAAGTGGGGGACTGGTTAAAAGCTACCATAATAATCTAGGAGAGATGGTTGATGCCTTGGAACAGGGCAGTAGGGGAGTCAGAATGGGAAGTAGTACTACAGAATTGGGGTATGTATTTTAGGGACACACCATAGGGATCAGGAGAAAATTAGACACTGGATTCAACAAAATAGTCCAATAATGAGGTGGGGCAAATGGGGAAATGTCAAAAAGATATTCAAGGCAAAGGAAAAGACAAAAAACAATAAAAAGAAAAAAGGGATAAAAAAATTAAGAAAAATGAGTAAAAAAATTGAATAAAACAATGAAAAAAATGAAAGAGAAATTATTAGAGGATATAAAGAAATAAAAAAAAAGCCCCCATAAATTAAGAAAATATCATTGAAATACAAGAAAAAATCATTATGTGAAACTTTTATTCACATTTTAAAACCTTACTTATTCAGTCATTTCTGACATTTCCAATCAAAATGCATTATTCCTTCCTTTGGTCTACTTATATAGAACATAATCTCTTTTTTTTAAAAATTTATTTATTTTGAGAGCGAGTGTGCATGCACACAAGAGCAGGGGAGGAGCAGAGAGAGAGAGACGGAGACAAAGAATCCCAAGCAGTCTCCACACTCACATGGGGCTCCATCCCACGACCCTGGAATCATGACCTGAGCCAAAATCAAGAGTTGGACACTTAGCTGACAGAGCCACCCATGTGTCCCAGAATATAACTCTTATACAGAATTCTATTATTTTAAGTTTTACATGTTCATTTATTTATATCTCTACTTCCACTAACCTGAAAATTCCTGAGTGAGAGGCCATGTCTTTGTCACAGTGATCCCTGATTGTCTAAAGTTTAGTATAGGACCTAGTGCGAGGTAGGCACCCAATGAATATTTAATGAGTTAAGGTGAGTGTGTCTGAAACATTACAGTTCAGGGATTAGCATAAAACACTGGAGAAAAGATGTTGAGCTTAAGAAAGGGACAGACTACTAACCTCTTCCATATACACCTGTGAATCGTTTGGTTTATTATAATAAGCATGATTTATTTTTGTAATTTTAATCTATTTTCAAAATTATTTTTCCTAATTCAACAAGGAAGAGTGAGAAAACCACATTAAGACAATACCCCATTGTTCATGACGCGGCTTCATTCACCCTGATTGTGTAAACATATCGTGGTGAAGTATTCTATGGAATAAAAGCTGCCTCGTCTGCTGCAAATGTTTCTGCATTTCAGCGTTCATTATGGAATAGTCACAAAGTCAGAATGTAATTCACTAAAACACATGTCAAGAGAAAATTACCCGCAGCAACAAAATAAAAGATCTCATGTTTTCAATCAGACCAATAAACTCAAAAACAGGTTTCATTAGCCATCATACCCCTTCCTTTGCCAATTTCTTAATTCATTTAAATACACTGACACATTTAAAATCCCAAAACATATTTATAAAGTTACCTCAATTTTTTCCAAATTTTATAGCCCTCTAAACCTGCAATCCTAAATACTGGATTTAGTTTTGCATCTCACAAGAATTACAAAATTGTTTTCTTTAATACCTCTAAAATATGTTCACTAATAGGAGTTAGTCCAATACAAAAAGTCACTGATAACGAGTTAATTTCAAAAACACTTACAGGCCAAGTGATTAACCACAGGACATTAAAAAAAAAAAAAAAAGCCAAAGTGAAAAATATGTTGGGGAAAGAACTTTAATAGGTCAAAACAGACATTTTTCTACTGCTGTACACTACCAAGACATACTATTTCTGGTTTTTGCCTTTTACAAATGAGATGGTTTGCTGTCTTACTTTTTTAAAGGTTTTATTTTTAAAAAACCTCTACGTCGAATGTGGGACTTGAACTTACAACCCCAGATCAAGAGTCACATGCTTTAATGACAGAGTCAACCAGGCACTCTAATGGTTCACTACTGTAGAGTCATTTTAGTGGCAACAATTCTTTCACTTAGTTTTCAATATAGAACATCATATATGTATAGATATATATATAACAGACAGAAAATGTGATATATAAACTTCAATAAGACTAAATGTTTTTGTTCACCAACAGGAATTAACCAATCACCATTCACTATTCACACGTGGACACCAATCCTGTCCTCTCCGGATCGTGTGTGTGTGTGTGTGTGTGTGTGTGTGTGTGTGTACTTTAGCATACCTTTTGCTCATTCACTGAGATGTATTCTGTAAAACGCACCCAGGGATGTACGCCACTTGTCCACAATTGTGAAAGAGAAGCGCAATCAGGAGAGAAGACTGCTGTCCACATTTGAGTAGAAAACGTAACCGATAAAATCCGTACTGCTGTATGAACATAAACACTTAGTCTCTTGGGAATTTATTCCTCCCATTTTTCATTATTTTAATTGCTTTTCCCACGACTCTTAGAACTGTTGATGTCTCTCGCTTGCTGTGGTGTATCCACAAAGGCAAAGAAAGAAACATTTTGCTATTACATATTTTCTCTCTAAAAATATTTCACAATACTTTTTTCTAATTATTAGCGCCTGTTCTTTCAGGTATATTCCAAGTCCTTTTTCAAAACTTTGACTATAAACGTCTTGAGAATCAATTCTATGTTTTGAAGCCCTTCAGGCCCCAGGAGTCACTGGGGCAATGTTTTCTGAACTGAATAAAGAACCTGGTTTTGGGTCAACTTACCTCTTCTCTTCTTTCTTCTGCAGAAGGAGTTTTCAGCTCTCGTGCCGTGTCATCTTTCGGGTCGAAAAGATAGATATAATCTGAGGAGTAACTAACGAGAACCTCCTGGCCGTCCTCGCTGTAGCACAGAGACGTGACCCTGCAGGACTTGTTGTTAAGATGGGAAGGGATAAAACGGGCAGCCATCCCGGTCGTTCCTCGGCCCGCATAATTCCCTAAATGAGAAAACAGGAAGTTGTATATATATTTTAAGAAAAACATTTTTAAAACTCTTAATCTGAATTGTGAGGTACACGATTTATAGCAATATAAAATCCAAACTATCATATTCTATTTCTAGAAGAGATTCTTGTCTCAAAAGTCTGATTTTATAACAAAGTAATAAAAGAATATAGTATAAAGTCTACATATCTTAAAAAAAATTTCCCAAGTTGCTGGAATTCCAGATTACATAAAGTGTTTAACTGGAAATATGAGTTATTTAATCAGTCAAAAGGATTTATGATTTAGGTATATACCTGGGTACATCAGTCGGTTAAGAGTCTGACTGGGGCGCCTGGGTGGCTCAGTCTGTTAAGTGTCCGACTTCAGCTCAGGTCATGATCACACAGTTCATGCGTTAAAGTCCCGCATCGGGCTCTGTGCTGACAGCTCAGAGCCTGGAGCCTGTCTTCGGATTCTGTGTCTCCCTCTCTCTCTACCCCTCCCCTGTTCATGCGGTCTCTATCTCTTCTCTCAACAAAAAAATAAATAAAACATTAAAAAAAATTTTTTTTCAAGAGTCTGACTTAACTTCAGCTCAGGTAATGATCTCACAGTTCATGAGTCTGAGTCCCAAGTTGGTCTCTGTGCTAATGGCATAGAGCCTGCTTGGGATTCTCTCTCTCTCCCCCCCTCCCCCATTTGTACTTTCATTCTTTCTCAAAAATAAACATTTAAAAAGATGGCAAATAAAAATTTTTATAAATTTACGTTCACTTTCTTTCTTCCTTTCCTTCCTTCCCTCCCTTCCTTCTCTCCCCTTCCAATCCCTTCCTTTCTCTGCCCTTCCCTTCCCCCCTTTTTCCCTTCCCTTCCCTTTACTCTCTCTCTTTCTTTCTCTCTCTTTCTTTTCTTTCTTTCTTTTCTTTTTTTCAGTAATCTCTACATCCAACATAGGGCTTGAACTCACGATACCGAGACCAAGAGTTACATACTCTTCCGACTAAGTCAGCCAGGCTCCTCTATGTCTTTAAAAGATTTTTGATTGTCATGAAATTTTCCTCCTATAAGATAGCAATGGGGATACTATTCCAACTTTAATTAACTTTAGTTGTCATCACCATGGATAATAGAGAGAGGTCCAACTGGCATTTTGTGCCTTGGACGTGTGGGAAGGCTTAATTGTAAGAATCCAGTAAAACTGTATGCTACAGCACAAGGAGAGCTTGTCCTGCCTAAACTGTCAACTGTGTCCCATCTGTCAAGAAATAGTAATTTAGCCTACAATTTCATATTATATTACTACTATTCCCCCTAAAAGCGCAAATACGAATAGATAAGACTTTTCAATCACAGTTCCAAAACCAAACAAAACCCCACCTAGTCTTCCCATTTCCATAATCTATGTTCATTTTTACTGGACATAAATTGACACTGAGCTTGACATTGTTCGCTTCTGGCCAAGTCCACTTTTATTTTTAGCAATACAAAATAGGTGAATATACGTAAATGTATACACGTTTGTATATTTGGTGAGTATGTGGGTATATAATCCTGGCCTTCCCTTACTGAAAAATGCTAATGAAAGATGGCTTTAAATTAGGCATTTCAGAAGTGGTTTGATCCCAGAGTGGATGAGGAGCAAATGAGGAGTTTAAAATGGATCAACATCAGTGCTACAGCATCACCAATAGTACTTTAGGCATAAACATGTTACACAAAACCAAGTCACTGTGCTTTTCTAACTCTTCTGTCTACTGCAAAGAACTTGGAAAGCCAAGTGTTGGGGCACCTGGGTGGCTCAGTTGAGCGTCCAACTCGATTTTGGCTCAGGTCATGGTATCAGGGTCATGGGACTGAGCCCTGCGTTAGGCTCCACACTGAGCATGGAGCTTGCTTGGGATCCTCTCTCTTTCTCTCTCTCTCCCTCTGCCTATCTCCCCCATTTGCTCTTTCTCACTCTCTCTAAATTAAAATTAAAAAAAAAGAAAAATTTAAAAAGGAAAGCCAAGTGTTGTGGGCTATTAGGGTCCCCTAAAATTCATGTCCACCTAGAACCTCAGAATGGTTCTGGAATATTTGGAAATAAGGTCTTTGCAGATAATTAGTAAGCTGAGGTCATAACTGGATTCGAGTGGACCCTAGATCCAATATGACTGGTGTCCTCGTTAAGAAGAGGAAAATGTGGATTCAGACACACACGGGAGAATGGCATGTAAACACGGAAGCAGAGACTGACATTAAACATTTAAAAGCCAAGATTGCTAGCAATCACCAGAAGCTAGAAGTATGCAACAGATCCTCCCAGAGAGCCTCCAGCAGAAAACCCTGTGAAACCTTGATTTTTAGACATCTAGCCCCCTGAAATGTGAGGACCAGTTTCCGTTATCTTAAGTCACCCGCTTTGTGGTCATTTGTTATGACAGCCGTAAGAAACTAATATATCAAGTGCTGCAACTTTTTAGAGGGATAAACTACAAAAACATCACACTGATAGGGTCATAAAAACTTGGTAAAATGCTGTTTTTATATTAATCCATAATATTTAAATACACTGTATTTAAATTTTATGACAAACTAGTGACCTTTTAAAACTGCAAACATGTCACACAGATTTATCTTTGAACTGACAGAATCATATCTCCACATCCAGCTTTTTTTTTTTTTTTCCACATCCAGCTTTTTACCTGTGGCTCTCGTGCCTAGCATTCGCCGATCATAGATTCGTACTGAGCTGTCTGAACAGCCGACAGCAAGATAATAAGGTGTTGGTGGGCAAATGGCGACTGATGTGGCGGCGCGTCGGCAGTTAATTAAAATGTCCTACGAAAGATAAAACGACACCAGCGTCACAGAGCCTGCCACACAGAGGATGCTCTCAACGTTCAGAACATTTGAACACTAAACACACTGTCCTTTTAACTAGAAGAAAACAACCTTTCTTAGAAATCCCAAGCTAGTATGATAATGAGAAGAAAAAAACCAACATAGTAGTTTTCTTTTAGTTTATTTTTCAGATTTCTGTTAGTGTTTCTAACACATTCGGCTTATGTGAGATCAAAGTAAATATATGCAGCCAGTATTACTCCTCAGCAGCTTATCACTCTAAGGAAAATTCCTTTTATTATTTTTTTCACAGTTTGCTACATAATTCCAAAATTGACCTCTAGTACAACATTGTAAATTTTCCTCATAAACCAATCAAAATAAATAAAACATATGGAAATACAAGGTGGAAAAAACAAATATTTGAGTAATGAAAGTTACATTCTGAAAAGGAAAAATTAAAAGTTACTCCTGAATACAAGACTAAACCACTGAGTAATTATTATGCTACATCAACAAAACTTAATAAAATTAAATCCATCCATAATCTTATAATCCAGAGATAACTTATTGACCAATTTTAATTATAATCTTCATTTTTTTTGCCATTTGTACAAAAATCGGATCCTTACATCTTTGCAATCTTCTTTTGTGCAGCTGGTTTTGATGCGCGTGTCAAACCACCGGACAGTCCCTTCCTCACCGCACGAGAGGAAAGTGTGCGGGTCACTGGGCACAGTCATAATCTGAAGGTGAAAACAGAGAATGCTACTGACCATTTAATACAGATGGCTTTGAAAGACATCACTACCACTTCATAAAATAAAATAAAGAATGAAGAATGAACTAAAACTCTCTTATTCACAGACGATTTGACCATCTAAGCAGAAAATCCTATGTAAGCAATTTTTTAAAAATTTATTAGAGTAAATGAATTTAGTAAAGCTGCAGGATACAAGATCAATATATAAAAATCAATGGTATGTCTATATACTAAGCCACAAAATCATCAGAAATTGAAAACTTTAAAATAATATTTATGATAACATGAAAAATATAAAATACTTAAGCATATGTAAGACACACGATACTGAAAATTATAAAACATGGCTGAGTAAAATTAAAGTCCTAAGTAAGGGGAGATGTGTTCACGGATTGGAAGATTTTTTTTATTTTAGAGAGACAGAGCACATGACGTGGGGGAGGGGGTAGAGAAAAAAGAGAATCTCAAGCAGGCTCCTCACTCAGCACAGCGCCCAGGGCTCGATTGCACAACCCTGGGATCATGACCTGAGCTGAAATCAAGAGGTGGATGTTCCACCAACTGAGCCACCCAGGAGCCCCTCAACTGCATTTTTTTTTTTTT